ACTTTTCGTGAAACGTACCTGCCTGAGAGCTGCTCCTGGGTCCCGTCGCGGGCAGCTGGAGGGCTCACCCCTAACAATCGCCCTTAAGGCCACTGACTTTGCACGGTTCAGTGCTAACTTGCAACATTTCATCTCATGTTTACGTGTTTGAACGTTTGGTGTTTGACTGCCGACGTGGCATTCCCAGTGTGTCTGGCTGTGCTTTCTGTCAAAGTGCGCAGTCCTAGCAGCTTGCCTGCTAGAGAACCCTGTTTATCTCACTAGACAAGAGCCGTTGATATGGTGGAGCCTTTCTGGCACGTTTACACGGGAACGATCGCTGTTTACAACGTATGGTCGTGGCCTACTTGACAGGCCAGTTTACCCCATCATTACTGCATCTCATCCTGCCTGCGTTGCAGGCACTCATCTGGAATCATTCCTTTCGGTTTACAACGAAAAGTTTACAACGAAAAGTTTACAACGAATGACTTTCGACGAACAGCTCCTACGGACGAATCAATTAGCCAATAAGTGCACGAGAGTTTGAGCCTCACCAAGGCCCTCCATGACTCTGACCTGATTTCAGATCCGCAGCTATTTGGCTCCTTGTACGAACCATATACAAGGTTTGCTACCGCTGTGCAATTCGACATGTCGCACTACTCGTTCCATTTCTACGGAAACATGGAACCGATGCACCACTCGCATCCAGTGCCTCCGCCTCGTCCTAATTCGGGGACTATCCGCATGCATGTCCTGCCGGATGCTAATCCGACTGACCCCCAGCCTGCCCGAGCGGTCACCTTGACCCCAGCTTCCCAGCGACAGAAGTCGAGATCCCGAAGATCGAGATCTCGACAGCGCAGGCACCGCAGGCGGACACCACGCAGGTCCCGCTCCCGATCCAGAGGTCGCAAGACCCACAGAGACTGTCGCAGACGACCCGAGCGCACTAATTCGGAAGTCCGTCTGGATCCCCGCTGGAGCCAAGATAGACCCGCAGGACCACCCGGAAATGTTTCACTGTTTCCTCGCCCTCCGATGTCGGATCCCTACGATCCCACGCCGAGCCGGCCAAGTCAGCCGAGTCAGCCGAGCCAGCAGAGTCAGCCCGCGCCGCAGAATCCCCGAACAGGGGACACGCATCGTTACCACCTGGTGCAACCTTGGCCACCTGTACAGCCTAGTCCGGCAACTTTCGGACAAGTTGCACCACCTGTGATTCCTGCTCCGCTCGCTTCGCACGCGCAGTCCTCAGCGGCCTTGAACTTTTCAAGCAGCTGCCCTGCACCGCCGATGCCAGGACCGCATTACGAAGCTCCTCCGCCTCTGCCTCCGCCTGGTCTGGGTGTATCACCCTATCAGCAGACTCCGTGGCCGCCAATGTGCAGTCACCGCCCACCTCCTGTACCATGTCCGAGAATTCAGCCCGGTCCGCCGCCTCGAACACCTCCGCCCGTGCATGCAAATTCGAGACCAGCGGAGCCTGCGCACCCGCCGGCACGACCAACACGCCAGACATCTGGCAATCCAGACTCTCGAGGCCCGCATGGACCGTGTCAGGCAGTCCCCAATTTGATGGATGCCCGGGCTGAAACGCCGCCTCCCTACCCCGGTGCCTCTCCACGCACGGTCTCTCTCGCGCTTGCTCCTCCGGCCAGTGTACAGGCGACAGCATCTCAGGATCAGCATCCTCGAGATGACACTCCGTCCAATAGCCGCCTCCGTAAGACATCGGCCAACGATGCTTCAGGAGGACGCACCGATGCTTTGACAACAAGTACAGCCCTCGCCAAGTTGACCACCCGAGACTTGTACAGCGCCTTAGAGGAGCAAACCCGGGGGTCCGAATTTCGGATTCCACCTCCGCATCAAACTGCGACAGCTGCAGGCCGCACCGAATGGCTCCAGCCAGAGGTGGCCCTCACTCGCTTTTGCGCCGCTCCGCCATTTGTCGAATGTTTAAATTGGGTGATGTGTCATTTGGACTTCACCCTTACGGAGTTCCCGCAGTCCCCCGCGGTCATGCAGAATTTAGTGATCGCACTGACCGCCAGCGGTATTGATTACCAACGCCGCATCCGCACACCAATTCCTGCTTGGATTGATTCCGAAGAGACCATCATTTGGAGACTGTCATTCAGTGACATGCCAGGTCCTGTGTCCATTCAAGCCACGGGCGACACTCACGTTCGCTGGTACCATGGCACCACCCTTTTGTCGGCTATCGGAATTTTGAAAACGGGCAAAGTCATGAGGAGCACACGTGAAGGACTCAACATGCCTGACACTCATGACTGCTATGGCTTTTTTGCGAGGGCCCACCTTGCGGGCGGTACCGCGGCCGAATTGGCTGCATTTGCTGGGCAATGCGCATATCATACCAAGAACGCGAGCGGCCTAGTTTTCTCTGGCGGGTGCCGAGGGAAATCCACTAAGCCCACGTCTGCGGACACGTGGCGGGAACAAGAACTCGCACGAAGGTACGAGATTGTCCACTCCGCTAGTAAAGACAAGC